ATTTAGAGAATTGACCCACTTTTCAAACTATTTAGGAAGCTAATCTGCTTTTTGAAATCACATTTTGAAAATGCAATTTTGAAATTGTAATTGCATTTTCAACATGCAATTTCATTGCATGTTGAAAATACAATTTCAAAAAGTGAAGCCCATATCATCATAAATTACATTTTCTACTTAAAATCCCATTTTCAAAATACGATTAAAAATGGAATTTTAAAAAGTAAGTTAATTTCCGAAATAGTTTGAAAAGTTTGTCAATTCTCTAAATTATTTTCTTTGTAGAATATTTAAAAAAAAAAAAAAACTCAGCATTATGACCAATTTTTTTATTTTTATTTTTTGTCATGTCAAAACTTAACTTATCTTAAATTTTAACTCATTATATTTGACTTTTTTTTCCTTCTAAAGAAAACAAAAAAAGAAAAGAAAATCTAGAACCTCAGACCCAAGATCTGTGGCAGATCTGGTGGAGAGGTAACAACTCTAGTGTGATTCGACTGAGGGAGTTGCAAATCTTAGTCTCAGCAAGCTAAGAAGGCTTTTGAGTCCATCAGTGCTTTATTTGTGGTTTAACCACTCTGTGGTGAAACATATGTTTTTATTTCAAACATGCTCCATTGCCGAACCTTATGATCGGTTTTACTTTACAATACGAGCACGAGCACGAAATGTGCGTTTGAATATATTCATATTTTTTTTTTCTTTTCCAGTATGCGTATTGTAATATCTCTATTTTGTTTGGTTTAAGCTCTATTTTTGGATGGTCTCTCCAAGTGTCGATTTGGTTTCCTTCAATGGATTTTCTTTTGATAAAAAAAATGAAAGTAACATTTAAGGAAATATATTAAAAAAAACCTTTGAGATTGTTTCGATTCATTAAATTTACCGTTTTGAAATAGAAGTGTATCATGTTTCAGAACATGCGTATTAATACGCAACTTGTTAAGAGTATTAGCCTTCTCTAGTAACATATAGTTAAGAGTTACTAGATAATACACTACTTAAAAATTATCGAGAATGAGTGGACAATGATTTGTGTTAAGCTGGAAACTAGAACCTTGGGCTCAATTTTGTAAAAATGGAGCGAGAAATAAGATTTGATGAAATCCATGAGTTGTGACTTATATTGGTTTAGAACGGTGAATTGCATTAATAAGTTATTTTCATTATATCTATTGTAACGCATCAAGATCACATGCCTTAGGTTTGCATATTGAGCATGTTAGTTGCACACCCGTACTAGGCTATAGGCTCACCTTGTTGTATTTCAGGTGCGTGTAAGGCTTTAGTGCCATTTGTTGTTTAAGGCCTAGGGCCTATTCTTTTGTTGTAAGCCCTAGTGTTCTATTTGGTCATCAGAATGAGATAAAATGGTTATTTCTTCAAATCCCATATGGAATGATTATTCCCTTATAATGATGAGTGATGATTCTATGCGCAATGTTTTTCATTCCACTCCAGTTCAATGATCCAAAAACTACCTAAGGGTTTAACTTGTTGATCCTATGATTGATTTCACATATTATATATTCGTTTGATAGAATGAATGGAATGAAATAGAATTATGAGAATGAGGACGTCCAAAAGTGGAATGCAAATGGATTTAGGATTTCGTGCTAGAGTTGATTAATGGCATGTTGTTAATTTCATTATGCTTTAGAATGCTTATTGTTGGGTTGGTTGTGGATTGGAGTAACTCTAGACACATTCTGGACAAGGTGAAGGCTCTATCCAATTCCTTTGGCATGTCTATTGTCTAAAACTCCACAAGCAGTCATTGAGCAATCAATGCAACTCCTCAGTTTCTCCTGCCTAAGCAAGTCCAGTGACTTGGTTTCCAGTGATCGATTGGTCCCTTATTCAATGGAGCGGTCTTTTTTCCTTCCTAGTCTATGTTCTATTGCTCAAAGATGTTGTGAGATTGTTTTCACAGCTCAAGAGGCAATGTGAGTGGTCGAACTTCTTCAACTCACCTTGTTGACTTTTTACCTTTAATCCTTTGATTTAGTCAACTCTTTTGAGGACCTCTCTACACTTCTTTGACACATTTAGTCCTTGACCCACCGCTATCCCTTTAATCCCTATCACAGTCTAAGATCGAGGTGTGACAGCCACACAAAAGGGATTCGCATGCACTTCCTCCAACTCCACCCACGGCATAGTTGTAAATAGCTAGTGACCCAGGATTAGGGAGAGTTTCACCCAGAGACTCGAACACGTCTTCCTAGACATCAATGTTTGATATAGCCACTTTTAATTTAGATATAATGTTCCAAAAACACTTCCTTTTTGTGTTTTATTTATTTATTTTTTAATGGTGATCACTACATAATGTAGGATGTGAAAATGCTCTTTGGATGTGTTTTCTGGAACTGTAAAATTATTATGAGTAAATTAGACAGGTTTGATGTTAGTATATTATCACTCTTGTGGTTCTAAAAATTAGATCATTTTGAAATTTATAATCACATTACAAAAATCCTCATCCATAGATTTTGCTTATAGTAGCATATAATTTTCAAAAATTCCATATTTACCCCTACTCAAGTCCCGCTCTTTAATCTCTATCCTAACATATAAAATCGACGTTTCTCTCACCGTCCCAGCCCCGGTCTCTGTGTAAAAGACCCAAACCTACTACCAACCGGATGAAACACCTATACAAATGTAACTCTCAAATCAACACCCTCACCAATTAAAGCCAAATTCAACAGCCACACAAAATGGGAAGACCCACCAAAATCTTAGTCATAACCACCACAACATAGTTAGAGGCATAACCAAAAATGTTGGGAAAGGTGGTGGTGGTGGTGGTGGTGTTTGAAGGGGAAAGTAGCGATAGAATAGTGGTTGTAGCTGATTTGAGCCTTGCAATGAGGGAAAGGTAGTTACAGTTCAGTCAAGGTGTTATGGCTCATTGTTGGTTGGTGGTGATGAGGCTGAATGAAGTGGTGTAGTTAAGATGGTGGTAATTTATCTACCACCTGTCATTCTTCTTTCTTTCTAGGTTAGATTATCCACTCCCTTACCCTTTCTCTCTCTACTCTTTCTCTAAATTACAAACAATAAATCTTGTGTTGAACACAAATCATTCAATTTTGTAATAGTTTCACAGTACACTACAACAAAAGTAATCTATGGTGACGAAAAGTAGTGAAGAAAATAAATTTCATCAATAAATAAGAATAATCCGTGATGAATTATAAAATTTTGTCACATATAATAAAAAAATAAAAATAATAGATGACGAAATTTATTTTCGTCAACAAATACTTCTTTTTAGGTGAGAAAAAATTAAGTTTTGTCACTGAAGGTTTTCCCACTAATTTTTTTTTGGTGGCGCCAAAATTTTGACACTTTTGGTGAGAAACAAAATTTGTCACCAATTATAAAATTATTAGTGAGGAATATATTTTCGTCACCAATAATTTTATATATATATATATATATATTTTGAGAAACTTGATTTTAAATATTTTAAGACCATTTAGTGATAAATATATTTTTGTCACTAATAATTTTTAATATTTTGAGACTTTTTAGTGAAGAAATTATTTTGTCACTAATTTTGAATGGAAAGTTTTGAAATATTGGGCAGTAATAAAAAAAATATATACTACTAACTTTCCCTCCCCCCTCCTCATTTTTTGTTTATCAGTTTTCATCTCCCCTCTTTCTCTCTCTCTTTAAAAACAAAACACAAGTTAATTAGCTCTCTAAGTAACCTACGGTGACGAAAAGTAGTGAAGAAAATAAATTTCGTCACTAAATAAGAATAATCTGTGACGAATTATAAAATTTTGTCACATATAATAAAAAAGTAAAAATGATAGGTGACGAAATTTACTTTCGTTAATAAATACTTCATTTTAGGTGAGGAAAAATTAAATTTCGTTACCAAAGGTTTTCTCTTTAGTTTTTTTGGGTGGGGGCCAAAATTTTGAGACTTTTGGTGAGGAAAAACAAATTGTCACCAATTATAAAATTATTAGTAAAGAATATATTTTCGGCACCAATAGTTTTAATTTTTTTTTTTGAAAAATTTGATTTAAAATATTTTGAAAACTATTTGATGAAGAATTTACATTACAACAAAAACACACTTTAGTGGCACACACTAGTGGCATGTTTTTAGAAAATGTTACAAAAATAATATTTGGTAACACGTTTTAGAAAAAAAAAACTACAAAACCACAAACATATAAGGCTCTAGTGACATTTCAATAAAAAAATGCCACATCAATTTTATGGCATTTTATAAAAGAATGGCACAAGAAATTGTTTCAGTGTCATTTATCAACAGATGACACTAAACTTTAGTAGCAATGGCATTTTTTAAAAAATATCACTAAACTAGGTAGGTGCAAGTTACTTTTTATGGCATTAGGTGAAAAGTGTCATAAACAAATATTTTATAGCATTTTGAGAAATGCCACTAAGTCAAAAACTTTCCACCTAATGCCATAAAAAGTAACTTGCACCTACCTTGCCACTAAGTCAAAAACTTTCCAAGCTATCTAATGGCATTTTTTGAAAAAATAAAAAATGCTAATATATTTTCAAAATTTTTAAAATGCACAAAATAAATAAAAATAAATAAGTTAAACTGAATATAACATGTTTTTTTTAACTATACTTGTCACATGTACAAAATTGATTAACGGCTTTATACGACTTAAAAGAAGAAATAAAATTTCAAATTGCTCTCCTGTACAATGATTAATTTTTTTAAATTTTAGTTCTTATAATTTCAATTAACTCGATTTTGACTCTGAATATCACTGCCTAATTTGAGTTTATGTTTAATTTTAGTATTATTAATTTTTTATTTATAGGTATTACAGGTATATACACCAAACAGAGTGACAGACCAAACATTTGCTCTCGCCCTCTCTCTCTCGTAGTTAGTCGCTCACCGTTTATGCTTAATTTTAGTATTATTATTTTTTTATTTATCTGTATTACAGGTACATAAACCAAACAAAGTGACTAAACACCAAGCATAGTCTTGCTCTCCCCCTCTCTCTCATAGTCGCTCACTGTCGGTCAGTCATCGTTGCTAGCCGTCGTCAGTCACCGTCGCTCACCATCTCCTCGATTCCTATCGATGTTCAGGTCTCTCTCTCTCTCTCTCTCTCTCTCTCTCTCTCTCTTCTCTCTTTATTTTCCCATTTCACTCTAGAGCTAGGGTTTTTTTTTTTTTTTGTTGATGTTGTAGGATTTTTATTTTTGTGAAATGAGTACATGAGTTTTGATTTTTGTTCTAGATTTAGGGTTTTTTGAACTAACTATTGATGTGATAGATGAGATGATTTATTCTGTGAAATGATTTAGGGTTTTTGAATTTCAAGTTGAAGATATATTGAACAAACAAAATGGATTGTAGTTTTAATTATACAAAATTTTCTGTCGATTCTTAATATTAACTTCAATACTAATTTAACAATGATTTTTTTCTCATTGCTAAAATTGTAGTTCTATTTCACTGCTCCTAATGTTTGTCTATTTCATTTTCACTTCATACACTATATACAGCAGCAAAAGTGGGTCTTCTTTTTTCTTTTTGACAAAGATCTCCTATTTAATATCACGTCCCTCCAAAGTGTCTCCAAAATTCATAATTGATTGGTTCCACAATTCCCTCAACCCACAATATGAGACCTCACAACACTCAAAAAATAGCAGTCTCATGCAACCTGCAAAACAGAGTATATATACAAATATATATATATAAATAGTTAATCAATACACTCTCAATATGGTCAGTGAGAGGTGTGTAGTATAACTTCCTCACAACACTCAAACCTCTATGAAATGGTTTAACACTCATAACAACTCCTTGTAACCTGCATAATAAGCAAAACATTTGGAAACACTCAATATATCTTCACAATCACCCAACCCACATTTAATGAACTCCCATCCCTCATTTCTCTTCCCAAATGATTGGGGCTATTCTTTAATATTGAATCTGGCAGTTTCCATGTATCAAGGAACCACCTGTCACCTGGATGGCTTTTCAGGTTAGAAACAGATAACATACGGAATCTTACCATGTCAATAATATGCTTGACAACCACTTCCTCAGGGAGGAATTCATCATCAAATAAGTGACAACATTTTTTTCAAAATCCCTTTGTTAGAATAGCTTATGATATCAAAGGAGCTCCTAATTTTAGGCTTATAGCCATGAGAGGATATTCAAAACTTTTATATTGGTGTTACTTCTATTTATTCATTTTTTCTTTTCATTTAGAAAATATTTGGGTAAATTATAAATTCACCCCTTGTGGTTATGGAAAATGCATCCTGCCCCTCGAGGTTTTAAACCACATTACAATTTTCTTCTTCATAAAGACTTAGGTCAACTAACAAAATTGGATGATGTCAACAATTATTTTTTTTTTTTGAAAATATCTATTTTACCCATAGCTCCTATCACTCCGTCTTTTTCCTATTCTCTTCGTTTCTTAGCCACATCCCCCCTAGATAATCCAATGACTTTTTTTATATAATTTTAATTTTATACACTCACTTATACATTTTTATACAACTCTGCCAATGATTGAAAATTGCAAATGCAATGTATAGCCCCCACCACCATTGTCCCATCTCTTGGCTTATGTTTACTTCTAGGTTGACAAGTTGTTTGTTATGGCAATTGGTTAGTTTTATATACTCCTTATATTCTTAGAAGCCAGGTGGAATATTTGCAGTGGTCATGATGGCTCAAACACACTTTTTTGGGTCTTCAGTCCAAGTTTTAGTAAATTCAGATAGATTATGCTTGTCAAATTCGTAGTTTCCAAATAGGAATAGTTTAGGAGCTCTTAAAAGTCCATGTATAGTTGGACCCAATCCTACGTGAATCTATGTGTGCTACCCTATTTATACTTCTACTTCTCTACTGCAATGAGTTAGCATTTAAACCCCCAAAACCATATCTACCTCATCATTTCTCCTAACCCAAAATCATATCTTACCAACCTTAAACCTTTCTTTTTAAATCCTTCAACTCTAACCACTACACATTATTGAAATCAACTGCTTATTAATATTCACGGCCGTACTATCACAGCTCCAAACTCTTGCCTCTCTTTGTAAAATCATAGCCCTAAACTCTTCCCCTTCTCTTGTATCCAAACAAACCCTTCAACTCTATTGTTTTACCCACTAGTTGCAACAAAATCTTAGCATAATCAGTCTCTACAAAAATTTTCTCGTCACTGCCCAACATCATTTTTTTTGGCATCAGAATTGTTGAAATCTGCCTCCGCCCTGCTCATACTTCATACATCAAATGGTTAGTAAGTTCATCATGTCAATGTGCAGCTAATGATGTGGTAAGGACGGACTGTTGATCCTAATGTACGTGTTGCCTTGTTAACATTGATAAACATTAATCTAAATACAATAATGCATAATTATAGTACTTTTCAACAAACTTTAGTACCTTAAAGCAGATAGAACATAAACACCAGAAACTCTTAACAATTTGATGCTGCCAAAAATAAAAGACCAAATAATTGAAGAGCTTCATTTATCAAACTTACCTCAAACCAAAAACCAATTACAGAGGAACATGAAGGCTTTGTTTCTTAAACAATTGGAATTTGTTTTTAGATAATAACAGATGCTTGTATGACTAACAGCTAGAGCAGTGCTCAATATTAACAGAGGGCATAAGCTTAAAAGCATAGAACATGACTTTTTACATCAAATAAATATACGCACAACAGCTACATCTGTAATTTATCAACCAAAGCGTATCAAATGTAAACCTGGTTTCAGATGCTAAACTAATTTTCCTATAGAAGACACAGAGGTATTAAATTAAAAAGATGATAAGTGGCATAACAGAAAAAGTCTCACATCCTGATCCATTTGTATGTTGGCATCATCAAGCGTTTTGTCCAAATCATTCATCAAGACACATCGAGGATTGGGTTGTAATTTGTTTACTTGAATTTCTGTATTATACATTTGATCAAATGTATTTTGATCAGTAGGGTGCTCGTGATTTTTACCTGAACTGATTGTTGCTCAGTTGCTCTCAATGGTTTTTCACATAAGTCATGATGTCTATCATCTTGATTTATTTAGTGTGTTACTGTGTGGAAGACTTTTGATCTATCTTGAGATTGAATAACTGTTAATAATCCACCTGGTAATTTTTAATTGGTAATTTGTTTTAAGAGTTTGGCCTATTCACTCTCCTCAAGGCACAAAGGTGTCTGTCTCTGCAATTCATTGTCCTACTAATTCATTTATATTATTTTGCAGGAAGACAAGGAGAGACTTGAGAAGCAATTGCATGATATGGCAGTGGTGGTTGAGAGATTGGAGAGCAGCAGACAGAAACTGCTAATGGAGGTAACATCCTTTCCTACTATTTCAATTCATTCAATAACCTGGACTTGAAGTTTTCAGTTTGCTACTTAATCTTGTTTACAGATTGATTCCCAATCTTCAGAGATAGAGAGGCTTTTTGAGGAAAATTCTAATCTTTCATCTACTTATCAAGAGGCAATGGGTGTAGTAGTGCATTGGGAGAATCAGGTACTCAGTGTTGGAGGTTTGACAGAATTTGGTTTTCAGATTTAGTAATCTGTTGACACCTTTTGTGGTTTCTTTCTCTCTCTACTTTTTCCCCTTCTCCCTTATTGATGGATCTTTAGGCTGTCCCAAGGTAGTTTATGAATAACCTTGGACAGTGTAATTTGGTTTAATTATAGTGTTTGGATTGGCTGCATTACATTTTCATTTTAGAGATTGGACATAAAAAGTTGCTTCCCTAGGTGTTTAGCTTTCATTTCATTTAGAGTTCACAATGAAAGCTACCCTGGTCAAATGAACAAAGAAAGCAAAAAAATTCTTTATCCTTTGTGCATGCCTACAGCATTCATGGTTTTCAATTGTGATTTTACTTTTTTTTTTTGTAAAAATTTATGTTGACTAAGGACCATCAATTTAGCGCATAATTGAGCTCCTATTCCTCATATTTGAACCCTTGGACAAGTTGCATGAAAAATGAATTTATGCCTTGATGTATTTGTCCTACTGGAGATTTGTGGTGAGGTGGAAGTTTAAGATATAGATGTAGAATCTCAATTATGTCAAAAGAGAACTTCATGAAGGGGGTGTCAGAAGTTTTAAGGACAAATATTTAATCAAATAATATATTGTTGTGTTTGAGAAGAGAGAATTTTACGTACAATGCTCTTTAGAGATTTTGGATTAAGCCTTTGATTCAAGGGAAAATAGTTAATCATATGTGAAATAATACTGGCTGCACAATGAAGCCAGATATTGAACTACAATACTTGTATCTAAGACACCTATCTGCCTTTGCTTTACCTATTCATATGTTTGTTTATACATCAGGATACCCCATGGCTTTGCGATAAACTATAGCTATAGGCTTGAGCTTGAGCTTGAGCTTGAAAAGACATTTAGTTATGTAATTTGCCTTCATCTTGTCGTGGATGAGGAATGCTTATATTATCTTTACTTGTTAAGTTTCGTGGAAGTTATGTGGATCTCTTCCTCAAAACAATAATATGCATGATGTGATTCCTGCAGGTAAAAGACTGTCTTAAGCAGAATGAGGAGCTCCGCAACATGTTAGATAAGTTGAGGACAAAACAAGCTAATGCACCAACAATGAATGGCATGGAGAGCCAGAGAGGCCTTTTTAGCATCAAAATTGCAGTATTGCCACATTGAACATTGTTTTTTTATGTATGTTGAAGATGGATCATTTTAATAGAAATCACTTAGCATACCTACAAGGGACAAACCTTCAAATGAGGTCCTAGAAATTTTGGTTATTTAAGTTGATGACAATACCTCCAGATGGTGGGAGTTTGGCTGGCTAATTATTGGTTTCACACTTGGGTAGGGTATCCTAGGAGGCATCATAAAAATAAAGACATTGATCATTGCTTGCAATTTTCAGTTGGTAGCATTTTTTCCCCCCTTCTCTGTTTTTTCACAACATACATTTGCATACCGTAAAAAGTTATTTTATTAAATAATATATATACTCATGTTATTTCTAGATCTCCTGTAATATTTTACATACTCTATACAATTCCAAACATCATTACAAATTTGTTTCTTATTCTATAGAATACAAATTACATTGCAAATTGTAACATATATACACTATTAGTTTTGAAGCTAAATTCTCAAGTAATGCAGATTTCCTTTACAAAGAGAAATACAAATAGCAAGACCTCATCCTAAAAACTAAATACAAACATGATCCCCTAAATACCAACAAGTTACCAAAAGACATCACATATTTGTCTTGCATAATTTAGAGACTTGCAAGCTTTCAATTGTAATAAACCTTCTATTTCTGGATGTCTAGTAAGATCTACTCCTAGCTATCCTTCCTGTACATCCTTGATAATATTTTTCTTGTTTATTTTATTTGCAGATTGGTTTTCCATGACGTTTGGAAGCATACTTGCAAATTAAGATCAAGTGTTGAATTTTATTTTATTTTTTGAATTGATACATAGTTCTAGTTGTAAATTAAGATCAAGTGTTGATTTTTTTTTTTTTTTTTTTTATTTTTTTTTTTTGTGGACACCACGTTGGTTCATTTTGGGATTTGCTATAATGGTTTTCATGGATATATTTTGATTTATAATATAAATTGTTTAGCAAATTTTTTGTGTGGAGTAGTGTATATTAGCTAGTGAATTTCTTAGTACATTTAGAAGACAATTGGGATATGAGCAGGCATATTTGTGAAATAATAATTTAAAATGAAATATAAAATATGGAACAAGTTTAGTGACAAATTTTTTCGTCATCTATACTTGTTATTATGACAAAGTGATTATTTGTCACTAATAAATAATTTTTATGACAAAATTTATCGCAGCTTATGTATAAAACTTTTCATTGATTTTGTTGTTTGGTGACTAAAAATTTCGTCACGTGTACATGTTTTTGTTACGAAATATATTTCGTCACCCATGTCTGACTTTTGGAGACGAAAAATTTCGTCAATTTTACATCTTATTGTGACGAAATTATTTTCTCATCAATGATCAACATATGTGACAAATTTATTCGTCAACTAAAGTTATAAATATGGTATTGAATAACTATTTGGTGACGAAAATGAGGATTTTTGGCGACAAAATGTTGTCTTATTGGTGACAAAAATTTTCGTCACTAAATTAATTTCATTGGTGATGAAATTATTTTTCGTCACGATGCTCTTTAGTGACAAACATTCAATGACGAACCCAGTGATGAAAATATTTCCTCACAAATATCTTTGGAGACAAAAAAAAATTCGTCATCCAAGACCCAACTTGTTGTAGTGGTACCAAGTCCTTCTTTTGCCATGGCAATCAATTCAGAATTTTCTCTAAATATATATATATATATATATAAAATGAAGGGACGGAAGCAGAAATATAAAGAACATGAAGAAGGTAACAATCAATCAAGGGACGGAAGCAGAAATATAAAGAACATGAAGAAGGTAACAATACTAATAATACTAAAAATAAGCTAAACTAAAACTGAAATATAATACTAAAAGAAAACAGTTTAAAAATACATTAATAATAAAACTTACAATTGTTTAATGGAGTGAAATAAACAATTCTTCAAAATACATAACTTGAAAACGAACTTGAAAAGAAAATTACAAAGATAGGTTTTTCTCTTGAGGAAGGAATGCTCTCAATTTTTTCTAACTCTGCCTTATTCTTGACTGAAGAGACCCTTTTATAATCAAAAGAGACCACTGTTAGCCTTGTGAGTGAATACTATGAGCCTTGTGAGTGAATAGTCTTGACTTGAAAGGAGCATCAGAAGCACATGGGAGTTGTCTGCTGCTTTCGGTGAGTGACTAAAACTTTTACTGTGCTAAATTTGTCAGTGGGATGAATCATGAATCATGATGAATAGTAATGTTGACTTTTTGATGAATAGTGAACAGTAAAGTTGACTTTTTTACTATTCATTGCTTGGAGGCATGTAATTGAGGGAATCAATATAGATATATATACCAGCAGCTTTTTTCAAAAGACGAGTATTGATTGAAGCTGATAATTATAGCTATATAGAATCCAATGACTGAATTAAGCATATGCGTCCTGAGCATCTTGGAACTCGGGTCCATATGGATTTTGAGTAGTTGAACCTTCAGAAGAGCTTGAACTGTCTGAACCATCTTCTGAACTGCTGTTATCCGAGTCTGACTTGGCTTGGGCCATGAGTAGACGAGCCATTTGGAGGACCTCATCTTTGGATGACTTGGACTTGGGCTTAACCTTTAATTTGGATTTATCCTTTGACTTGGGCTGGTCAGAACTGGGCTTTGCTGTCTTGGATTTAATCTTTGATTTGGATGACTTGGGCTTGGAAGAACTGGATGATGGGCTTCCAAGATTGACTAGAGGAAGTTGGCTTCCTTGAGTGACTGGAGCAGTTGGGATCTACTGAGCTTTAACCATGGCAGGTGTAGGAGCATGAATGTTAATCGGGAACTCAGTTTGAACAATTTCAACAATTCGTTGAATCTTGAAGTTATCCCACCATTTAACCTTATGTAGCCGCTGAATCACTTTACCAGAAATACCATATTGCCATTTGAATATCCAAGGGATTTTATATTTGGATATAAAAATAAGCAATTGAGGGAATTCTCTTTGCTGTGGAGTAAATGAGAAAACAGTGGAAAAGTAATTGACTTGATCCAAAATTACTGATGGGAAGATGTCTGGAATGGCACCATAATGGGTCCACCATCTCAGAAACCAAATAGGTAATTCTGACTTAAACTTTTGATCAAATTGAAGAAACCAGGAGTGACTAAATGTTTCATTTTGATATAGGAGGACTTTGAACCAGGCATCAATATAATCATAATAATTATACTGAAAGGAGTGATTAGGTAAATCACGAAGTTGACAAGGAAAACCCCATTCAACTAAGGAAACAAAATTGTGAATATAAAGTGAATGGTAAACCACTTTACTAGTGTAAGTACGATCATAAATGGGTTTAATCACAATTGACTGATGGTTGAGCAGGATGTCTTTATAGAAGGTGATTGTTTTCTCTGGATGGAGAGGAACAAAATGCCATCCAGGAGGGAAATAAGTTTTAACCAGATCATTAACAAATTGACTCTTTGGGTGACTAGGTTCTTTGAAAAAGAGATTAGCTGTTGTTGAATCAACATAATCAGATCGAGCAATTTTAATAGGATTAGGAGGGTATGGAGTAACTGCTTGGCTGGATGAAGCAAAAGGATCAGTGGCCAAAGCAGATGTGAAACTGGGTCGAGGAATATTACCAAGAACTTGGTAACGATTAATCATTTCAATAGGATGGTATTGGGTGACTAACTCCAAAGGAGGAATAAAAGGTTGACTAGTTGGGACCAAGGCTTTAGAAGGGGGCCTTGGGCGAGACATCTGTTTGAAAAGAAATAAAGGTTAGCAACAAAAATTAGCAACCACTAAGGAGATCTAAATAAGTTTGATGAAAATCCAAACAGTTGTAATAATCAGCAAGTAAATGGCGACGAGCTTGAATTTGGTGGTACTGAATGTATTGAGCACGTTTAGTAGTTTTTCTGGCTAATTTTAACTGGGCAATGCGATAAGCAGATTGGTGAATTAGATCACGGTAATGGGTAATTTGGGTTTTATGGTAAGCAATAAATGAAGTGGCCATCCCTATCCCCCCTGTAAAAATTCCCGGGTAAGGAAATCAGGAATGGAATTTTGACAACCAGGTATATATTCAATAGTAAAATCGAAAATACTTAAAATAGATTGCCAACGGGCAAAAATTTGCTTACTAGCAAGATTTTGAACATCTTTTTCTAAAACATATTTAGCAGATTTGCAATCAACACGAAGTAAAAATTGTTGATTTAAAATATCATCTTGAAATTTACTGATACATAAAACAGTAGATAAAATTTCTTTTTTAATAGTACTATAATTCTTTTGTGCTTTATTCCAGACACCAGAATGATAACGAACAATTTGTTCAGATGACTGAGGAGTAATTTGCTGGAGAAGGATGCCGCCATAACCGATATCAGAGGCATCAGTTTGAATAATTTTGAATGAATTTTTCAATAGGATACCAAGACAAGGAAGAGACTTGACATTTGTTTAACCTGTTTAACAATAGTAGTATGAGTAGAAGAAAAGGAGGAGGATTGTCTTTTAACCGATCAAACAGGGGTTGACAAGTTTTCCTAAGGTCTTTGTAAAATTCAGCAATATAATTCAGCGATCCTAAAAAACGTTGTAGCTGAGTTTTATCTAAGATTTCATCAGGGAATTAGACGTAAATTCAATGGAACGACTAATAGGTAAATAGTAATTCTGGTGAATATCATAATCTAAAAATCTGACTTTGGTTGGAAACAATCTAATCTTAGGAGCAGAAATGACTAAGGCCATGACTCTTATGGTATAAAAGAATGCAGTAAGATGTTTCCAGTGTTCACTAATTGATTTTGAAAAAAATAAGAATATCATCTATATAAACTATGGAAAAATGACTAAATGGATTGAAAATATCATTCATTATATTTTGAAATTCACTAGGAGCATTTTTTAACCCAAATGGCATGACATTCCATTCATAGTGACCAAAAGGTGTAGTGAAAGCAGTTTTAATATCTATCTTGAGGATGAATTTGTATTTGCCAAAAACCACTTTTTAAATCAAATTTACTAAAAAATAACAGCTTGACTAAGTCTTTTAATCAAATCTTTTTTTATTAGGAATAGGATATCGAATCCATTCTAAAACTTTATTTAATGGTTTATAATTGATGACTAAGTGAGGGACACCTCGTTCTAATTCAGCATTTTTTATTACATAAAAAGCAGGACATGACCAAGGTGATTTACTTGGACTACATTATTCGATTTTTTAATAGTTCATTGATTTCTTTTTTACACATTTCAAGTAATTCATGATTCATTTGAATAGGTCTAGATTTAGTAGGAATTTGACATTCATGAAAATTCTTAATATATTGGTAATGTGACTACATGTTTTTTCCTATGCAAAAATGCAGTAGGTAAAGTAGAACAAATGGTAGTTTCAATTTTAATTTAAATTCATTAATTTGAGAAAATAATAATTGGATTAGTTAATTGTTGATCAATTCTTTTGTAATTAATTTCTTCTTTAAGATATCTTAAATGACGAGTTAATCGATTAATCGTTTGAGAAATAGAACAATCTTTAATTGATTTAATTCTAATATTTCAGGAGGAGATAAGAATTTAAAAGTAACAGGTTGCCTAAACAATGAGTAGTTATTCTTCACTAGAGGTGGTAAATGGGTATAGTAAAAAATATAAATGGTGTTCCTAAGATAACTTTATCAGTCAATATTTTAACGAAACAAAGGAAGTTTTAAGCAAACATTATTTTGACATATATGAACTTTAGGTATTTTATATTTAAATATACATTTTACCCTTAGCAAAGAAGTTAATTTTTCACGGACATTTT